GCTGGGTGGTTTTGGTGTTTCTTTTAGGGGGGGATGGGGAGGACTAGCGCATCTGTGGAGGGGGTTTGTGGGTCTGTGATGGGGGTTGTCCATCTGGGGGTAGAGGGATCAGGAGGCTAAAAATAACCTGGTCAAGGTGAGAGTGGGTAAGAAGAACACAGCCAGGGCTAGGGTGAGTGGCTAGGCTTTCCCTGGGTCCTGGAGCTGTGATCAGATATAACCAGACATTCAGCAGATCGAGTTAACTCTTTCACAGTCTAAGTTAGTTCAGCACCTCAGGCATTGGTAATCACATTTTCCATTCCTCTTAATGTGGATCACCTGCTTGTCGTATTCCTGTAGGACTAGGTTCCATCTCACCAACTTGGCATTGATATCTTTCAGCAACAAACACTTCACAAGGGTTTGGGGGGTTTTTTTGCACCTAAGCCCAGAGCTCCTGCCTTCCCATGTAAGCCATCTGTCCCATCAACTACAGGTGATGCTCATGCTCGGTGAATCAAGTCTAACCTTATAACTCATAAGAGTGTATGATGATACAGTCTTTTATTTTGATTTGTTCTGAAAAAAATCATTAAAAATCATCAAAATATTTTTTTTTTCAGGATTTTTTTTTTCAGTTTCAATGAAATGATATTTTTTGGCCAATAAAATTGTGGAAAATTTTTCAAGAAACCCTAATAAAAATACCACCTGTTTCATGTGGTGCTTTTTGGTCTTGTCAATTAATGTCTGTATAGTGCCTGCAAGTCTATGGCTAAAAGAATTTACAAAACAGTGACATGTTACTAGTTTTGAATGTTAATAATATAAAGTAAGGGTTTCTGGGGTTTTTTTCACTTGTATCATTCCATCAAAGACAGGTTTAAATGTCTTACATTTTGGTTGATTGCCTAATTAGGTGAGCCAATGAATTGAATTAATTCATCAAAACTAATTTGAAAAGATCTCTCCAGGCTGTAAGAGCTTGTGGTGTGCTTCTTATTCGTATTAGTTGCTTTGAGTCTGTGCATCATAGTTTTGTTATTATATTAACATTAGCCTTAATCTTGTTTAAATGTCATTGTGTTTTTTTCAGTTTCAGTCATGGTGTTCTCATTATTTTTCATGCCAATGTGCAAGAATCAATCACTGATTAATGGTTGTTTTTTTGGGGGGGGGAGTGGGGGAAGCTTTAGTTGAAACAATTTTTATAGAGTTAAATATGTATCACTTTTTTAATGTTTCCTGGAGGACTATTACAATGAATGTTATGTTTTGGAAGCCCTTCTAGAGCCATTTCAATGTATTTATCCTATTATCTGGGTAAAATGAAATTAAGCATCATTTTTATCTTATGTGGGAAAATAAAGAAATGCATTTAAGCAATGCAATAAAGTTGGCTTTTCCATTGCAATTCAACTGATAGCTTAGTGCTTATTGCCACATTCTCGTGCTAATATTTTTTATTTCCTTTTAAAGGACTCAACATTTTAAAAATTTGCTGACTTTCAGCACATTAAGATGATAAATTAGAACATAAGAAATTGACCTTTATTAAGTACCTCTTGATGTCTGGAATACCAATTATGACTGAAACACGGATATTGAAGGATAGGTCCTGTTAAGGAAAGACAAAAATAAAAGTAAAGATGGTAGAGTGGTATATTTATGATCTGAAAGATTATGAAGAAATAAGAAAAATACAGATGAAGTGGAATTTGGGAGCCACAATCCCTTTGGGGAAGGATGACAGCAAGAACTCTGTTGAGAAAGAGCTGAGAATTTGCTGCATATCCAGATCAGATGTTGCTATGAATAGTGGCTCTGTAATGTCAGACAGACAGACACTATGGGGAATTGTGTCGTGGGAAATTTTCACTTCCCAGAATTATGTAGGATTCTGTTTGAGGAAGATGCATTGAAGCTAGAACAGGTGCAGAGAAGGGCCATTAGGTTATTAGGAAATGATGAGACTATCAAACTGAAGACACTAGAGAGTTTGGCTGTGTGGCCTGGAAAAATGGAGGTGAGAGGGGATATGAAGTCCTTTTTTAAATACATAGGGAATAGAAAGAAGGCCCCAGGAAATGTGGGGCCCTTGCAGGACAAGACGGGGAATCTGGTTGTCACGCCAGACGACAAAGCCAACATATTTAATAACTTCTTTGCCTCTGTCTTCCTCAGTAAGGACCAGAACTGCCACCTCCCTGCTGGGCCCCCTTCGGGCCCCGGGGGAGGCTCACCTGGGCCTAGGGTGAGTGAGGATTTAGTTAGGGAGCTTCTGGAGGGGCTG